TAAAATATGGATTTAGTGTTGGACATTTTTTATTTTAATTTTAATCTTCAGTTCTTTTACTTATATCGATTTACAGTCATCATTCTATGTTGCTGTACAAGAAAATCTAGAAGAATTTTAAAGGGTGAGCTGTTAAGATGATCTCCCAACCACTCTTATCATACTGCATAACTCAGGTGTGGATAAGGTGGATATTACTGTCACATCTGAATGGCAGCTTAAGAACAACATACACCGATGCAAGCTCATAGGATGTTGAAGTATGCTTTCTAGGAAGACACTAAATGTATCACCAGGATATCATAAGCAATGTGTGTCAGTTTTCAGTTGGTTTCACATAGTCAAATTAACTAGGTGGATTCTGAATTACTAGTGCTTCTGAATTAGTAGGGACAAATGAAGTCTAATAGATCTGTTAGCTCAAATATATTGCTATAGCTAGAGAGCACTAGCAAACCTTGTTGTACCTGGTTTGCTTTTTCAAGGATACAGCTTCAGTTCTATGCTCCTGGGGCTGTATTGTAGATATGCCATTGGCTCCTATGGGTCAGCTCAGCTCTGGTGGTCTTATAGGTTAGTGTGTGATGCTTTGTGGAGGTAGGCTGCTCTTTCTTCCATGCAGTTGGGTTCTTGGGAGGGTATTTGCATTGAGATAAAGTCCATGCCATGTGTTTGGAGCTTGCTGTAACTGTGATAAACCGTAGTGGCTGGAAATAGGAGCCAGTACCAACTCTCACTCACTTAAGTATGCTTAATAATTTAAATAATTAAATTCAATTTAAAGTCTTTAAGTGACCTGACCCAGCAAACTCAGAGCTTGTTTGATGCTGAAATAACTATTTCTAGGGATATGTTGTTGCCTCAGGCATGACAGCAGACCTAAGCTAGCTATCTGCTTTGATACTAGTAATCTACATAGTCATCCATAATGTGTGATGAGAGCATTATATTGTCATACTACCCTGCAACTGTTATATGGCAGGATTCAAGCTGTGCAATATCTGAATGATGCACTTCTCAGTTAATTTAGTTTTGTATTTTGTTTTATTTTCTTCCTTCCCCTCCTGTTAACCTTGAATAACAGATTATTGTTTGTACTACAAACAGAGGTGGAGAGATGTCAAAACAGAAAGTGAATGGGGTGGAGAGAAGAGGAGGTGAGGCAAAACCCTTGGGCAAATTATTCTCTGTATATACAGTGCTTAAAGTGTTGAGTAAACCAAACTAGGCACCAGCCAGATGTTACTTACTTACATCACTCTGTCCAGCTTTGGCATAATGACAAGAATCCTATCTTTACATGGATGAAGTGATCTTGAAACACTTCTGCGCTGGGTTAGGCAGGTGCTAGCTGTTTCAGTATTGATAACAAGAATGTTATCTAGCCAGTTGCAATAAAGATAGATGTTGACTTTATGAACTGTATAAAAAGTGATTTCCATTCTGAGATTTTTCATGCAATAGTTGTCTATTCACACTGCTATAATCAACTTCATACTACTTTAAGTAACACAAACTGCTCCTCTCACTTCCCCCGAATTTAAGTGCTTTCTGTACTGAAAGTGCTGTCCTATATATGATATGCATGTCAGGAGTTTTAGATTTTTAGTCTAAATATAAATGAAATTGTTGCACTCTTTGTATTTAAAAAAAAATGTTCAAAATGTGAACATATTTTTCAGAGTGCTGTGTTGTCTTTCTAAAGAAAAAAGAAGTCTGAAAGTCTGAAAGAGGCTGATTAAAAAGGCTGGATATCTTGCCTGATATTCCTGCTGTTTAGGTATAAAGTCTTAATAGCAGCAAGGTGTATGCTCACTTCAGTGTATCTGACAGTTGGAGGTGGTAAGTGAGCCCCATGTTACATGGTCAGGGTCAAGAGAAAAAAAACAGACTTAATTCTGTGTTTCAGTGAACTACCAGAATAATTTTTCAAGTCAGACACAGCATGGTTGTGCATCTTCGATATAGGGGAAGTATATATAGACTGAAACCTTAATGTCACGTAAACCGAAGGTCAAAAAGAGTGTGAGATTTCTGCTTGATTTAAAAACCAACCAACCAGTGTAATTGAGTTCTTGCATAACAGGTATAAAAACTGTATCAAAGAAACCTCACAATTTTTCTCTTTAAAATATTAATATTTATAAAATAGGTCTCTCTTTTAAACTAATTTAAGTGTTGGATTTTTGAATATGAGTGAGGTTCATATTTTGAACATCTGGGAGATGTTCATGTGACAAAATGTTTCTGCCGTAATACACATAGCTTTCAAGAACTGCTGCTGTTTTGAGTCAGGAGTAAGGATTTTAGCTACCTCTGTTCTGTGCTTACCTGAATTCTGCTTTCCATTGGACAGGCTAACTTCACTCCAGATGTATGTAGATCTTATCTTGTGAAATAATGAAAACCTTAAGAGAAGCACATATTTTTAATGGTTCTTTTTGACACACTTGCACACCCAGTTTTAAGGGGTACTGGCAGGCTACTGTCATATTTCGTTAACAGGCTCTTAGAAGCAGACTTCTGGGAGTCACTTTAATATTTATCGAGAAAGCTTTTGTATGAGTAGCTTTCTTTGTGAATACTCAGTATGTGGTTTCAAGCAGAGTCTGTCAGAAGTCCCTAAGTACTGATAGTTCATGTTGTAACTTTTCCTGAATGAAGATTACTTGTCCCTTGTTTTTCTTCTTTCTTTGCTTCTTGTCAGGAGTGGTGCAGTCAAAGGTGAAATTAATTCTTTTGGCAGCTTAAATTTTGGCTTTCCAGCCCTTGGAATAAGATTGTATGTGTACATAGTATTTAATAAAAACCTCACGAGTATTTTGTTTTGTGTATTGCCAAAGTAGCTTTGGTCACAAAGACACTAAAATAATTTTATTAGAAACAAAAGAAATTTTGTTGGCAAATCTTATTTTCACTGCCAGAGGAGTTATGGGTTTTCTCAAGTGTACTTCAGAATAAGAGTTCTCCTACTGTACTGTAAATGATTGAATTTGGTACACTTAAAGACTAGCTGCAGTACTGCACATGGCTTCCATTACTGAGTGGTATGAAATGTAAGCTGTTAATGTTTTGTCCTGTATATTTCCTCTCCTTTTTGTGATTCTAAGTATTCTCCTTTGCAATAGGATTGCAACTATTTACTTGCTGAATACTGTCTGTTCTCTTTCTTTCCTGAAAAGCATTTATTTTAAAGCTGGCTTTTGTCCTGCTGCTTGACCTAGAGCTTAAAATTCTAGTATATCTTGTGCTATGTGAATTGATCATATGTCCTTAATTTTGTTGCTAGAGTTCCAATTATGTCATCTTTGCGTTGTCTTAATGTTGTCTTGCTGATGGAGTGTTCAGTTGCCCTTTTAAGGATGTATTTGCACAGTGTTCAATTCACAATCCATCTGTCATGGCAAGTTGATTTATCAGTCTTGCCCTTCTTTCTGAAGAAGTCCAAAGCAGTCTTACTGCATTCCTTGGACTTCTGTTCAGAAATTTCTGTTCAGAAATTCAGAAATTTACAGTTCTCTTGTGTATTTTAGATATCTTCCAAAGTACATGTAGGCTTCCTTATTATAAATTGTGTGACTTCAGCCATATACTTTTATCTGAGGCATTTCTGGTGTGCTGGAATCAGCATTCCATTTGGTGAAAGCTCCAGAGCTGGAAAGACGTAAAATGCGCAGAGCAGTAGACGTGAATATTCCTAGTTTATTCAGGACCTGTAGATGAGCAGAAGAGTACAATCTGCCCAAGAGAAATAGAAATAGATCAGCTTCTATGCAAAATGTTCTTGGGAGTTGCAGCTAAACCAGTTTTAACACCTCCATTCTGACTTTTGTCAGGTTTTTACTTGTACAGAACTGTATGAATGCGTTGGCTCCCTCTCTGCCACCCTCTGTCTGCCTGAATTTTAGTAACTCATAATGCATAAGCTGTGTATTTTGTCTAAGTTGGTTTTGAGCTGTTCTGAAAACATCTCCCACCTTCTCTTTTTTTTTTTTTCAATCATGACAAGAGAGTGGGACATCAACCAAATTCAGCAAAACATTGTCTTGTGCTTGAAGTGGAGTCCTTACTGAACTTTCAGTTAGAGCATTAGATTGTGCTAACCCTGCGCATTCTAGAGCTGCCTGAGTCAACAAGGTCATTGCCAAGGGCATTTCTAGGAGTGGCTTTACTTCAGGAAGGGTGCACATTGTTTTGGCCTTTTCATGGAGTGTTACATTTTGTGGCCTGTTCGTTTACTCTGGGTGCTTTTACTTTCAATGATGTAAGGGACCTGTGAAGCATATTCATGTGGGTGATGGTTTTGCAGCAAAAAAGCTTATACATAAAAACTCAAAGGTGTCTTGTCGTAAGTTTTTAAATGTGGTACAGCTTGGAAAGCGGATGCAAAAGCTTGCAGTGTGTGGTGTGGCTCAGTTTGGTGATTGTAGCCAGACAAAATGGTAGAATAGTCCTATTACCTACAAAAGTAACTGAAGAAAAGGTTTTTTTGGTGTAAGCTGCTGCTGGGTGGAAAATTTACTCTGTTGTTCCATCTTGATAGGACATGTTCCCAGGCATTTCTGGCCACGAGTTCCTTCTGTGTTGTCACTACAGGTGTCCAGCAGGCTCTCCAAAGCCACTTTGCAGGTGCAGCAACTTTCTGAAAGATTCGTCTTATGATGAAAAGATTGAAAATGTACTCCTGGCTTCTTTAGTTCTACTGGTGAATGATCATATTATTTTGCATACCTTCCGTGTCAGCCATACTTTAACTTTGCAGAAAAGTAGCAGCTGCTCTCCAAGTGAAGAGTCAAATTTATGAGCTATGTTCCCTTTCCCATCCGCTAACTTCCCTGCAACACTGGAAAAGTAACTATGATACTGTTAAGGTTTAATCATTTCATTAATTCACATGTGTGCTTATACTCAAGAACTCAGTCTTGTAGGTCACAGGTGTCAATTTTACTATGCATAATAGAGTGGTCATATTAATGGGATTGAACTTCCTTTCCTGTTAGGTTTGGTATTCACCCTGTGGCTGGTCGTATGCCTGGTCAGCTGAACGTACTCCTAGCAGAGGCTGGTGTTCCCTATGATATTGTACTGGAAATGGATGAGATCAACAGTGACTTCCCAGGTTAGCATGTGAGCTGTGGGTTTCCAGTAGATTGGATTTGATATTGTCAGTTTTAATTTATTTCTGGTTTTATATCACACAGGGATTATTAAAAATAAAAAATCTTAGTCAGACCATTCAGTTTCTCTTTGTGCCTGTCATGATACTGCTGTAGAGGAACAGGAGGTCTTTCTCTTGCAGTCTGAGTGCTCTCCCAGGTGATGGCAAGTGAGCACAGAGGAATACAAGAAATAGTGTGACTCAGGAGCAGAAAGTACGGACATGTGAAGCAAAGGGAAATATTGAATGCAGGTGTACAGAAGAGGGCAGATGTTGACTGGAAGTTAGATAGGCCTGTGAAATTTGCTTCCTTCAGAACTGAGAGAGCAGTGTTCTTTTTTAGTTGGTTGTAGCTGTGAAATAAGTGACATGCTGTGTCCTTTTTTTTTTTTCCTCTCTGTTACTGCCCCATACAGGAAAACTACTGTTTACTGACTTCTTTAAGTCAGGTGTCGTGGATGACTTGACCCTGTCCTGTCTTGCAAACCAGCTTAGCATTGAACAGACATCTTGCTTTCTTACATCTTTATTTAAAAATCAGAAAATTGCTGATAAAAGGTTTTTCAAAAGAATAGTCAAAAGAAAAGCTAGGCATAAGGAGATTTGAAAGTAATGGTACTATGTGTATACAAAACCACATTTAAATATCAAAGGATTTAATTTTGTGAGGTGGAATGATCTAACAAGTCCTTTAGAACAGGGTTCTGGATGCTTGCAGTTTGCTTGGGGTAGTTTGTAAGCACATTTGCCTCTCACGTATAGCTTGTCTGATAAATTTGAAAAATATCTGTGAATGAAGTCCCCATAAATGTTGTAGAGTACTTACCATAACAGGTTATTCTGCCTCTGAAGATCAGATTTAACACAAAAATACATCAGCATCACTGTTCAGGTTTCAGATAATTTTTCATCAGTCTTATTTTCTTTGTCTTGCTGCAGAAACTGACTTGGTCCTTGTGATTGGTGCAAATGATACAGTTAATTCGGCAGCTCAGGAAGATCCAAACTCTATCATTGCTGGAATGCCAGTTCTTGAAGTCTGGAAGTCCAAACAGGTGAAATTAACAGTTTCATTATCACTTACCTTAGGGAGCATGCTTTTTTTAAATAAAAAAGATTTATAGGATAAGTTAACAAGATTCTCCTACTCTTCTGATTTCCATGAGAAGCTTTTCTGCAAGATGTCCAACAAAACAGTCAGTACTTTGGAAGTGTGATGCATTATTCATGATTTTATAATCATCAGCAAATGCTTTAGTGAGTCTAGTGGTGATTGCAGTAGAAAAGACCAATGAAAGTGCTTCTACTAAAAAAGTGTGATTAGAATAAATTATGTTCTGCTCACATTTGCAGTCCTGAAGCATTTCTGTACAAATACCTGCTTTTTTAAGTTCATAGGAAATTTGATTGACAACTTTGATATTAAAGTGAAAATACAAAAATTAATAATATGCTTAAATAAAAAGAATCAAAACAGTAACTGGCTGGGTTTTTAGTAGAGAGCTTAGTTTGTCCAGGTTGAGCTGACAGTTTAATTACGTCACCAATTTTGTTCTTCAAAAGCAATGTTGTCTCTTCTAAATTACATAAGCTTGAGTTGCCTCATTGTGAAATCTTTGGTAGTTTGTTCTGAACCCAGATGTAACCTCAGTTCTTCTGAGGGTTTAGCTATTCAGATACTCAGTGATAGGCACATATATTTATCAGGGTGTTGTAAACTGGGAAATAAACATGTACATGGGTGGAGCTGGTAAAGCTTCATAGTTTCTCTGCTGAAGGTGCCATGATTAACTAATTTAACATTTAATATCTAAAACTGGCTGACATTTATTTTAGGATTAGAAAACCCCAAAATCTCATGCATGAAGTAATGCAGAGTAATGGTCTGGAGAAGTCCAGAGAATGTTGCACCAAGTATTGATGTGAATGCTCATCTGAATTGTGTTGCTATCAGGGAATTAGCTCTTAAAATAATTCAAAATAAAAAAGCCTCAAAACCCTGTTATAATCATCAGTGCCCATCTTGCTTTGATGTTATTATATGGAATAAGTAAAAGTATATGCATATGTAGCATCCACAAGTCTCTTCATGTGATGTGTAATATTGTGTTTAACAATAAATGTTTCTGAAAATGGTTTGGTTATCAATTCTGTCTGCTGTATTAAAATTTGAAAAAGAGTTTCATAGCAGTGAGTACCCTATTTTGAATGCCTCTTCTTCTCCCTTAGTTTGTGGAAGTTGCTTTTTGTGTTATCTTTGTTTGGAGGGGGGATTGTGGTTGTTTTTTGCTGTTTCAAACATGAACTCTTTATGTGCAGGTCATTGTAATGAAGAGGTCATTGGGAGTTGGTTATGCAGCGGTGGACAATCCAATCTTCTACAAGCCTAATACTGCCATGTTGTTGGGAGATGCTAAGAAGACTTGTGATGCCCTGCAGGCAAAAGTCAGGGAATTGTATCAAAATTAAATACTGATCTTGTATTCCACTCGTGATTGCAGTTAATGTTTTGTCACAGAGGTTGTGGAAAAAGGGTTACAGAAGAATTCTTTACTGTCATGATATAGCCAGCATTTGAAGAAGACTGCATTGACTCCTAGGAGATGTAGTTCAGTTAGGGAGCCATTGAATCATAGAATGGTTTGGTTTGGAAAACAAACTTAAGATCTTAAGATCATCTAGTTCCATCCCCCTGCCATGGTTCCATTAGTCCAGGTTGCTCAAAGCACCATCCAGCCTGGCCTTGAACACTGCCACAGATGGAATGCAGGCTTTATGAAAAGATGGCCATATTAGGCCTTCAAACTGAATCTCCCATGAGGCAATGCATTAAGGAATGAAAATGTGCTTTTTAAGGTTAACACTGAGCTGTTAGAAGCAGGAACTGATAACTTACAGTCATCTTGAAGTAGTTACTGGCTTCCTCCTCCTTACTGTCTGTACTTCTGTCATGGTAATTCACTAGAAAATACTGTGCCAAACCTGTATTCTGTCTTATCATCAAAGTTGTTCTTTGGCCAGTATGGACAAAACAACTATTTATTTCATCAAAACTTCAAGCAAATTGCAAACAGATGCAAGCAGATGCAAATAGATGCTTACATGATCTGAGACTCTGAACAGAATATTCTGTTTCTTTTGGGGATTTTATGGATGCTGTGAATCAGGAACATTCTAGGAAGGTTACTTTTCTTAAGAACAGTTCCACTTTTTTGTAGTTTATGCTTACATTATGTAAACACAGGATTTCAGGGACCTACCCAATGATTTTCAAGTCTGAGAAGGAAAAGTACACATACTTGCACAGCTTAACTTTTTTAAGCAGCTGCTAAATTCTCCATTTTTTCCAGTTGTTGCCTTTTTAAGTGTCTGAGGAAAAATACGGTCCTGTTCTGCAGAGGCAGAACATCTTGCATACCCAATCTGTTCACAGAATTTGGAACACTCTTTCAGTTTATGTTCACTTAAGCTTTTCACTGTATTTGCTACTTTGAAATTCAGTGATGCTTTCTTAATTAACATTTTTGTGATGCTGGAAAATGCACTTCCAAACATATTTAAGATGCTGGATTTTTATTAGAATTTTTCTAAATAAATAAGCTATTGTTTGAACAGCACAGAAACATACCAATCTTAAAACCGAGTGTTTTGATTATTTGACTTCTCTCTAATCTAATTAAAAGCACTGTTAAATTCCCATAATAAGTTCAGCAAAGAATTAAATTACATTATGACATAGATTACCATTTTGTTTTTATTATGTTAAGTGTACTTGAGTGAAACTCAAATATTTGCCTATTAAAATGACTTTATCATGTTTCCACAATGATGTAGCAACTGTCTGTGGTGATGAAGGCTAAATAGAAATAGCTGTACTTGTGTTAGAAAGCAGTCATATTTGGGGAAGACAGACTGTTATGAAGTAAATCTAAAAATCCATTTTGATTCATAGAACATTTTTTTATTGTACCATGTACAGAGACCTCATTTAAAATATAGTATTTCTACTTAGCTACCTCTGTTTTTATGTGAAAATCACTTAAAACACAGACTTTGAACTGATAAGAATTATATTAAGGGTTGTAACAATGTACTAAGGAAGCTACCCTTTTTGCAAATCTCTTTCATATAATTTGAAATAAAAATTTTCATGTAACATTAATATGTTGTACACTGCAAGAAAAGAGTTGTAATTAAATTTTAATTTGAAAACATTGTGGCAGCTATACTTGATTGTAGCGTATATGGCTTCTTGATTTCATTGTATTCAACTTTTCTTTTAGGTCTGAAAAAAAATAGGAAAATGGGAGAGCAGGAAAGACAAGAAAATAATCCTTTGTCTGTCTCCCAACTAAACAAAATGGGATTTGAAGGTATTAACATCCTAAAGCATTAATTTTTGTCTTGTCAAACATGATGTATCTAAAACTGTATGCACAATGTTTCTGCTTATAAGTAGCTTTTAAAAAAACACAACAAAACTACAAACAAAAACAAGGGAGGAGGAACTTAAAAAATTAAAAATATATCCATACCATTATGTTGGATTAGAGGTACCAGTGTTATCTTTGAAGCTGTGCTTTACCATGGAACACCAGCTGATCATTGAAGTGCTAATAAAGTCAGTTATTTTTCTTATTGATCACTGTCTCTTTTCTCTCCTGTTTGTTGAGTAGGTAAGTAGTCTGAGATTCTTTCTGGGAGTCAGAAGATCAAATTGCTACCAAGGATGTTGAGACTGAGGAATGTAATGAAAAGGAGTCAGTGAAATAGGCGTATTTCTTGGCTTTTTAATTTGAATAGTTCTTTAAAATGATGTAATGTGACTGTAGCAACTTCTAGTAAATGAACCTGAGAGAGGTTGATCCCAATATTTGTTGCCTTTTTGACTTAAAAAAACCCTGAAAAAGCTGTAAGAGCTAACTTGCCTGAGGTGTGAGATTAATCCTATGCCCTTGAGCCTGATACCATATAGGTTTGTTTCAGTTCTTAGTTATTTAGGTCTACAAGACGGTCAAGTTGATTTTGTGAAGATTTCAGTTTCTACCTTTGGAGTGAATGATAATACCTTCAGGCATCTGTTGGTCTGTTCACTTGTTTTGTTACACAAGTCTGATATGCAGCTTTCGTGTTTTCTTTGAGTTTTGGTCAAGCCAAGACTCAGAGGCTGCAGCCTGGCATTAATTTATGAGTTAATCCATCTTCCCTGTTGAGCTGCCTGCCTGCAGTTTGATCAGAAGCTGCATGCTTTGGTTCGAACATTTCATGGGTGGAGGTGCCATAGCTTCTCTGTTCCAGTGTTTGATTCTTCCCATTGTGAACAATTTTTTATTTCATATCTATTGAAATTGCCTTTGCTGCAATTTGTGTGCATTAGCTAGCCTAATCCTGTTACCGTGTCCCTCTGAAAAGAGTTTTTTTCACCAGTCTTACTGAATACGACAGGAAAATTCTGCCCTGACAAACACTTGTCTTTTGTTTCTCCTTGTATGTTGTGTAAATGATAAGTTCTAGCTTGGCTCACTTCGGTGTGTTAGTGGTTTCTTTTACCGGACAAATTAATGCAGATGCAGTCTCATAACTATGAAGTGCAGGGAAATCATCACTTTTACCTATGAACTATGTGCTTACTGATGCATTCCAATACATGGTTCCCCCTTACCCAGGGAATAACAGACCAATCAGTCTCACCTCTGTGTCTGGCAAAATCTTGAAGCAGATTCTCCTGGAAGGCATGCGAAGACGCATGAAAATCAGCAAAGTGCTTGGTGGCAGCCAGCATGGCTTCACTAAGGGGAAATCCTGCCTGACCAATTTGGTGGCCTTTTATGATGGGGCTACAGAACTGATGGACAGGGGTAGAGCAGTTGATGTCATCTACCTGGATTTGTGTAAAGTGTTTGACACTGTCCCACACAACATCCTTGTCTCTAAATTGGAGAGACATTAATTTGATGAATGGACCACTCGGTGGATAAAGAACTGGCTGGATGGCCGCACACAAAGAGTTGTGGTCAATGGCTCAACGTTCAGCTGGCGACCTGTAACGAGTGGTATCCCTCAGGGATCGGTGTTGGGACTGGTCTTGTTTAACATCTTTGTTGTTGACATGGACAGTGGGATTGAGTGCTCTCTCAGCAGGTTTGCTGATGACACCAAGCTGTCTGGTTTGGTTGATACGCTGGAGGGAAGGAATGCCATCCAGAGGGACCTTGACACGCTTGTGAGGTGGGCTGATGCCAACCTCATGAAGTTTAACCATGTCAAGTGCAAGGTCCTACAAATGGGTCAGAGCATCCCAGACACAGCTACAGGCTGGGCAGAGAAGAGATTCAGAGCAGCCCTGCGGAGAAGGACTTGGGGGTGCTGGTCGATGAGAAAATGAACATGAGCCGGCAGTGTGCGCTTGCAGCCCAGAAAGCCAACCATATCCTGGGCTGCATCAAAAGGAGTGTGACCAGCAGGTTGAAGGAGGTGATCCTGCCCCTTTATTCTGCTCTCGTAAGACCTCACTTGGAGTACTGTGTGCAGTTCTGGTGTCCCCAACATAAAAAGGACATGGAACTGTTGGAACAAGTCCAGAGGAGGCCCACGAGAATGATCAGGGGACTGGAACACCTCCCATATGAAGACAGGCTGAGGAAGTTGGGGCTGTTCAGCCTGGAGAAGAGAAGGCTGCGTGAAGAGCTCATGGCAGCCTTCCAGTATCTGAAGGGGGCTTACAGGGATTCTGGGGAGGGACTCTTCATTAGGGACTGTAGTGATAGGACAAGGAGTAATGGGTTAAAACTGAAACAGGGAAAGTTTAGATTGAATATAAGGAGGGAATTCTTTCCTGTTAGGGTGGTGAGGCACTGGAATAGGTTGCCCAGGGAGGTTGTGAATGCTCCATCCCTGGCAGTGTTCGAGGCCAGGTTGAACGAGGCCTTGGGTGATATGGTTTATAGCAAGGTGTCCCTGCCCATGACAGGGGGGTTGTAACTTGATGATCTTAAGGTCCTTTCCAACCCTAACTATTCTATGATTCTATGGTTGCCCTTTGCTGCAAGGTTGTGATGTTATTTTGTGGTTCATGATGGTCTAGTGGGACCATCTTGTTTTCTGCAGAGCTGTTTTCTTGCTAGTTGTCCTGCACTCTGTTCTGTTGTGTGGGGTTATTCTAGCTGAGTAATGTTTTTTTCCATTTGCTTTGGAACTCGTCAGATTCCTGTCAACCTGTTTCTTAGCCTGCCGAGGTCCCTTGGCAGTCATGCTCTCCAGAAATAATTTGTTCCTGCAACTTTGTAAAACCTGTGAGCTTGTTATGAGTGATTTCCTCCTGATCAGGTCAATAATAAGGAAATTTGAGACTTCAGTACTGACCCCCGCATGATATTGTTACTTCACCACTAGCCAGATTTCTTACTGTTACTACAACCGTTAGAGTCTGGTTGATGCTCCACCTGTGCAAACTGTATGTCACTAATGTGCCTGCATACTGCGTGAAACCTTGTCAAAGGCCTTGCAAAAAGTCAAGGTATGAAAATCCTCTGCTCTTCATGTGTCCTCAGGGTCAGTCATCTCACTGCAGAAGGCCGTCATGTTGGTCAGGTATGATATGTCCATGGTAAAATCATCCTGCCTTTACCCAGTTGTCTTGTTTTATGTGATATTCTGAAGGGGTATTGGTTATATACCCTTCCCAGGGTCAAGGTTAGGCTACCTGGCCTATTATTTCCCTGTTCTTTGTTTTTCTTGAGCCAGCAACTTATTATTCAGATTGTAAGTTAAATTCTAACTGTAAAAGCTGCTGTTTCTAACACACACTGTGTTTACTTTCTTCTTGAGAAACATGGAGTTTTGTGATGGCAAATCGGCTTTGTAACATTTTGTAAGTAGGGGAATTTAACTGATTGCCAAATGACAAGTTTGCAGCTATGTGATCTACTAATCCATCAATCTGTTTCTCAAACTCTTACATTAGTCCGGAATTTTAGAAACCATATCTTAATCTAATGAGTTACATATATCCTGCTAAGTTGTTTCCTTGTAGCAAGCATGCATTTCTGGCTAATTCAGATAGGGAAATTAGGGACTGCATCTACTTTTGTATTTCAGTTTGAATAAAAACCTGGCTTTGGAAGTGAGTCACAGTTTCCTTCACTTGCTAAGTTTTGGTTTCTGTTGCAGAGCAGTCTTGGAGCACACAAACTTGGATTATTTTGAAACTAAGGTAGAAGATGCTTTAGAGCATTCAGTCTGTAGAACCAGATTAGCAGTAGTTCACAGTAAGTATCCTCAAGCATATAGGGTGAATTTCATATCCTCAACACCAAGTGCCTTTTTTTATCAGGTTTGATTCTATTGTGCCAAAGTAATTACTAAGGTGGACTTACAGATCTCCAGAGCATAAGACAGATCAAGAGGGTATAATTTACTTCCTTCCAGTCTAAGGCTTAGTTAGTTGTAATTAATTAACTAAAAATTTAAATTCAAAAAAACACCCACCCCAAAACAGAAAAAGATTTTTGCTCTATAAGCATAATCATGTTTTTTGTATATGCTCTCAATTTCTGCAGGAAAATTTGACAGGAAGGACTGTGAACACTGGGAGGTCTGGATACTCTGTACCTAAGTGCAGTTCAAATACCCATTTCATTAGACTTGCAGTGAGTATTCTTCCAGCAATACCACTAGTGTGGAGTGGTGTTTAAAAAAAAAATTCTAAAGAAGTGCAAATGCTAATGACTTGTGTAATGCAACTGCTCTGTAGCTGCGAAGAGGATATATGGGTTGCCCAGAGGGGTTGTGAATGCTCCATCCCTGGCAGTGTTCAAGGCCAGGCTGGACAGAGCCTTGGTTTAGTGTGAGGTTTCCCTGCCCATGCAGGGGGGTTGGAACTAGATGATCTTAAGGTCCTTTTGAACCCTAACTATTCTATGATTCTGTATCACATTAACTTCGTTAAACTAGTGTGATGCATGTTTTTTTTCCTGAGAGGAAGACACACACACATTTCCATAAATGGGTTTAGTAATATTTGAAGGTCAAAGTTCCCAAAAGGTGATAATTTGAAGTAGCAAAACCTGTCCTGAAACATTAACTTAAGGTATTGCTTGAGACATTAAGATGCTAATTTACAGCCCTTTTTCCAGAGCTATCATCTTAATGACTTCTAAGGAAAGTAGTCTTGCTGCAAAGTTCACACCTTCCCGTGTAAGTATGGCTTTAAAAATAAGGTCACACCTTCCCGTGTAAGTATGGCTTTAAAAATAAGGTTGTATGTGATGCAGTTCTGCTTGATGTGCTGAATATGAGCATCACTAACAGTGTGATGTTTTGCAATTAGGTGTGAGAGAAGCCTTTGTGTGTCTCTTGACCTTCTTTTCCTGTTCCTTGTTGACAGAACCCATAAACCTGGTTATTATAACCCTTTCCCTATTAAAGAAAGGAAGCAACAAAGGAACTGGAGAACAAAAGGGCTAAGAAGGCTTCACACTCAATCAGAAGTGTCTTCTGAAGAAGATTGAGGTTGAACTCTAGCATAGCATGAAATTAAGTTATTCTATTACATGGTCAGTCTAACCCATAATTTAAAAAATCCTTAGCAGAATGGAAACTAAAGCTAGTGAACTTAAAAAGCTCAAGCAGATGTTAAAGCTG